GGGCAAGTTTTTCACACATGACTTCCTTGCTGCTAATCCTTGCTTCACCCTAGTAGCCACATGTGACTCCTCAGACGATAATTACTCAGTTGACTCAACTTCATAGGGCTCTGGAGTCAGCACAGCTGATTTTAGACTTGCCAGCCCCAGAACTTTGGGCAAACTATCCTCTAGGAGTCTTGGTTTCCTCATCAAGAAATTGGGCATAATAATGGTCCTCCCTCAGAGAATTATTCGGAGGACAAATAAACTGTTTATGGAGGACTTGGGATACTGAACACCTAGGAATCTCAAGAGCAGCTCCAAAGAGAGGCCAAGTCTGTTCTCAAAGGTCCTATTTCTAGCTCTTCACCTCCCTCTTCCCTTCTTGTGGTATCTGTAATATTTTCACACGTTTTTTTCGAAACTTTTTTGACAGAAATTTGAAGCTCGGTCATTGTGCAGTGTGATTCATAGAGGATAGTTGAAAATATTATTCCTGTCAAATATTATTCCTTTCAGAAATCTGAAAGTGCAGATTTCGATAAGAGTCAAAGCCTTCAGCTAAAGGAAAGCACCTCTAGGGCATGCTTGTGTGCACTGCACAGCTAGTGGAAGGTAGTGGGAGGCTGCCCCAGGAATCTGAGGACACTGTCATTTGCCTTTCTCAGACCCCATCATGGGGGTGACCCCGGGTCTAGGGAGAAAGAGGGGTGAACTCCGAGCCATATGTCTCACAGAGGGGCTTCCAAAGCCACCAACAGGCTCCTCTGGCATTCCTGCTCCTCTCAGAACACTTGAGAAACAGGCAGAGAGGACAGGCATGAGTGTTGTCTCTGGAGCAACCTTGGGAAGGCAGGACAGGTAGGTGGGGAGTCCTGGATGCTGACATGAGGGGCAGGCTCTCCTCAGACCACACGGGGAGCAACCTTGGGTTCAGTTCTGAGAGCTCCATGTTAAGAAGGATGCTGGTCATTTGTAGTCATCCACGAGAGAGCAAGGATGAGCAGGATAGACTTAAAACCATGGAGGGAAATGTCAACCTGGAGAAGATGAGACAAAGGTGACTGCCATCTTTAAATACTTAGTGGCACCTTGTCCAGGACAGGTTGCCCATCACTATGGATCCAAAGGAAGAACCACGGATGAGGGATGATAATTTGAAGAACACTGATTTCAGCTGAATGAAAAAATGAGTCATTACGGGGGGTAGCCTCCTGACACTGCGAACTCTCCTGTCACTGGAGCTGTGAAGTGCAGGCAGGATAATAAGGATCCCCTCTGAAGATCTGATGGACTTTAAGTGTTTTTTTTTTCCTTTTAAAAAACTTATTTATAATAATTATTTCCATTTGTAAGTAAACTTATAAGTGTTAAAAAATAAAACCAGCACAAAGAGTGCCTGTATATATCTTATCCTTTATTCATCAACACTTGACCCATTTGCTGTATTATTTGTACTCTCACATGCTCTCTCACGCTCTCTGACTAGATGATTTTTGGGTCCCTTCTTCTGTTGTGAGTTAATGATTTTGCACCCTGAGGCTCCAAGTAGTAAGATTTTAGACAAATTGAAATCTTGCCGGCAGTGCTTTTCACAGCATTTAGCATAAAACCCATGGCCGCATACATGACTGACAGGGCCATACAGACTCTGACCCTGACCTTCTCCCAGACATTACGTTCATTTTGATCACCCGATTGCAGATTGGTTGTTCTTTTTTTTCCTCATGCATGCTAAGCTCATTCCTGGCTCAGGGCCTTTGTACTTGCTACTTTCTCTGCCTTCAAAGATCTTTACTGGTTGTCACTGGCTGGGTCCTTCTAACATTTCCAGACATCTACAAGTGCCCTCCTCCAAATCCTCGAAGTTACTCTATCATATTGCTTTGAGTCACCTCTTATCACTGTGTGAAATGATCTGGTTTATTTATTTATTTGTTTGCCTTTTTTTGGTCACTGCCTAGAGCATAAACATCTTGAGAACAGGTGCCTTATCTATGTCTTATTTGTTACCTCGCCCTGAGTGCCTATGATGGGGGAATATTCAGTTATCTGCTGGAGGAATAAATAAAAGAACAAATGGGCCTGAGAACATCTGATCAAGGGCTTGTTAATGCAAGGATGGATGGTTGCATTTGACAACCTACACAAAATGGAAATTGCTTAACAAACTTGAGAAAGATAAAGAGCCTTTATCTGGTAGATTGTATTCTGACAGGAGGTTGGGCGGAAAGTTTTTCCAGAGGGTGCCCCATCCAAAAGAAGGTGTGGACTCTTCTCAGAGGTCAGTGTGCTTTCTGCTGCCATCTGTTTGAAAGATTACCATAAAAATGAAAATCTGCAAGCCCTCCTGGTGCAAGCTCCTCCCAGGTGGCTGACACAGGAAGACAAAAAGGGGGCAAAGGGTATTTCTACAGCTGGGTGCCCTTGGAATTAGTTGGTAATGGCTCAATTCTTTCACAAACTAGCTGTGAAAAATCTTCACTATGTTGAGATTTCTTTCAAAGGAGCTCACAGATCATCTCCAGTGATGCTATGGAGAGATGGATTTTTCTACATGTTCTTTTTTTAAGGATCACTCTTGCTCTATTAGTTTGACAGTCTTCAAACAAGGTGTACATGTGATTCCACTGGAGGTATACACGTGATTCCATTAAGAGGCCCTAGTCTTGCCCACATGCACCCATTTCCTGTCAGGTCTAATTATTGCCAATGACCTTGAGCACTGGGTCTTAGCTCTGGGTGAAGTTTAAAGGCTTCTAAACTTGAAACTGGCCTCCTCCTCAACCAGAGAAGAGATGTCCAACATCACCTATTGTGCAAGTGGTGAGGAGTCACGACCTGGAGAAAAGGGGATGAACCAGCCTCAGGAAAAATTATTTTTAACAGCTTTCATTAATTCACTTACCTTGGTTAGCAAGAACTGCTACTGAACCGAGAAAAGAAATTCACTACTTCATCAATGAGGGAAAATGCTGATTTTTTTTAGTTTTAAAAGGATAATATCCGAAAATTAAATGAATGCTGTTCAATCAAGCTGTCTGAAGAGAAGTATATGTATATGTAGTGGACAAGAGAACCCACTCCAGAGGCAGACTTGCTGTGGGGGGAATCCCAGCTCTGCAACTTAATTGCTGTGTGACTCTAGTCAAGATATTTAACTTCTCTGCTCTCTGCCTCAGTTTCCCTACCTATAATATAAACATCATAAGTACCCAGCTCATGGGGATTTTAGGATTAACTAAGTTAATGTGAGTAAAGGGATTATAATAGGACCTCACACACTGAGCACTGTACACGTGATTGCTAGGATTTCTTCTCTTTACTCCCAGCTCTAATTAAAGAAGAAAATCCTGTATATCTACAAAGTAACTTCAGACATGTCACCTAATTTTGATCCTAACAGTTGGCAAGAAGCAAAAACTTCTTGCTTTTTTAAAAGATTATTTATTTATTTATTCATGAGAGACACAGAGGGAGAGGCAGACTCCATGCAGGGAGCCGGATGTGGGACTCAATCCCAGGACCCTGGGATCATGACCTGAGCCAAAGACAGATGCTCAACCACTCATCCATCCAGGTGCCCCCCTTCCCCACCTTTTTTCAAAGATTTTTTTTCTTCTTTATTTTGTAGCTGATCAGTCTCAGGCTCTAGGCTTATAGCTGATAAATAACTGAACCCTAACATGAACCCAAGTCACGGCCCTGGTGCACCAGTCAGCAATCCAGCCTGGAACCTGAGGATGCCTTGTAAGGAGGCATATCCCTAAAACCTTGTGGCCAAAGCCTCTATTAAATCTGACAGAAACCTGAGTGTGTTTGAAATTTAAAAAAACAAAACAAAAAAAAACCTCCCAAAACTAAAGGTAAATGAGAACTTTTATGGGAACTTAGAACTATCCTCTGTGTTTCTGACCCAAACATTGAAACATTACTTTTACTCAAAACAACAACAACAACAAAAACACAGAGATATTAAACCTTGAAAGACTGTTTGCTCCATCTCATCTGAGCAAAATGTCAAAGTAAATGAGATTTCCAGGAGACAAGTAAATTAGTTTTGTGCAAGTCCTTTCAGTGAGAAAGCTACTAGAATACTCTAGTAGCTGTCCAGGTAAGGGCCATCTGTTTTTTCTGAAACATGATACATGCAATCTCAGGATTATCTTGGGCCTTCCAGAGCCTATGGTTCTCAGGATTCAAGCTACTATCAGAGGAGCTCCAGCTTTGGCACAATTAATGGTGATGCCTTACAGCAATTACTTTGAAAAACAATAAACATCCTTTCATAGTTCAATGCCACGGTATCGTCCCCATCGACATCCTTTTTAATTTTCATTTTTGCCCATCACAGAGAGAAAAGGAGAGAGGCTTAATTTGATTTACAGAGGGGAAAACAACCCTGAATGTCCTTTTTTTCTTTCCCTAGGGGTGGGGGCGTGTGCAAGGAGAAAGGTCAACCAGCTGGTTTTCATCTATATGCCATAATTCTCTGTTTAGTTTACACTATTAAACTCCAAAGCTTCGCTTTAATCTTAACTGTTACAGTATGCCTTCTTGCAGATCCTATCATGTCGCATCCCTGATAGGGTTTCAGACTCTGGCGAAGCACCATCCCAAGCTGGTCCTTGCCATATGGGTAGTGAACGCATCCAACATTTTTTCATTGGCGCCTGCATCATTATGTTTTGTCACCAATGGTTTCTCGGGTTTTTAGTAAATTGCTGCGTCTACTGTGGTTTGGAGCTGTTGAAATGACGGGCTACATTTATTTGTATACAGCCGAGTCCTTACTAGAGCCTCCCTGTCCCGTTAGCCTTTGGAGGATGACCTAACATCTGTTTGCAGAGGGTGTGTGTGTGTGTGTGTGTGTGTGTGTGTGTGTGTGTGTAGGGGCACGAAAGGAGAAGCCTCACAAGGCAGGAGGCAGGAGCAGGCAGGGTGAGGGGAAACAGCTTCCTGGAGCCCTCCAGGCTCTGAGAGTCAGGAGCAGGAGAGGGACGAGGTGAGAGACTCACCTGATCTGTCTTCACTTTGTGAATCACATCTTCGGCACAGTTCGGGGATGGTCTTCAGTGATGTGACTGAGTACTGGATGGGCAGCCAGAGCAGAAAGGGAAGAAAGCAAGAGTTTAAAATAAGAGTATGACAATCATTCAAATTGGCCAGAAAAAGCACAACATGGGAAGTGATACTTGAGTACAACATGCGTGTATCCAGAAAGTCCGTCTGATTTTATCCCAGATGGGCTGCTTGGTGACTCAGGGGCATCCCAAGCTCTGCCTAGAAGCATCTAAGCAGATATGCATTAAAAGGGGCTATATGGTCCTGCTTTTCACATGGAAGGTAGGAGCCGAGCAGGCATTCTATCTCCTGTTACTTTTGCTACTTATTTGTAGAGGATGGAAGAATTTTGTGGCCTCGGGGATTTCCAGAAGGTGTCTATAATCTTTGCATTTTGAGTCCAGGTGTTAAGAGCCAAGGGGAAAGGCCTTAGCTTCCTGCAGCACCCAGGGCTGCCAGGAGCCTTACCTGTGGCCATGCTGGGTGGACCGTACCAACATCTCTCACGTTGCCACTTGTCAGAGATTTTACTCTGTGGCATCTGTGTGCTCCATGGGAAATAACGGGGGTGGAGGGGGGAACGTTATAAAAAGCAAGAGGAGCGTGGTTCTGTGTCTGAAAGCTCATCTGTTTCATGTACAGAGTAGTCTGAACCGAAATCACCTCCCAGCACCAACCCAGTAGCGACTCAGGGGCCAGCTCCCAGGATAACAAATTACAACACAAGGGGGGGGCATAAAACCAGAAGAGCGAAAACAAATGTGAAATCAATAGGTATGATGTATGGGGACTATGTTTGATGCCACTCAATCTTCCTTTTAGAAAAGGATGTTTTAGAACAAAAATAGATGGGATGAACTATTTCTTTAATCAAACAGACCATCTTTGATCATACATTAATTCATAAAATATAGCTCCCTAAAATTATTTTGCTCTGTACCATTAGGAACAAGGTTCTTATGGAAATGAAAATATACTATGAATGACCTCACTGCTGCAAAATTTGGGAGGATTGAGAAGAAACCTTTAATCTGAAAGAAAAATGATCATGGGAAACTCATTAGGATTATTCTAGCATTACAAGTGAGGAATGTGTAATTGGCGAACATTTGTCAATAAGAAGGTACTTTAGTTAGCTTGATGTTGATAGATGAAGCGAAGTGTCTACATCGAGACCCCCCCCCCCCCCGCGCCACTCCCCAGTGCTTTTCACATGATGTCAGGACAGCAAGACAGAGGGAGGGGCAATTGTAGCTACTGTCAGTTTGCCAATTGCGTGTCACAAACAAATTAAGTTTCCAGTTCTTCCAAGTGAAAAATGAAATCTCAAATAACTAATTAGAGAAATTACTCTTACCTGTCTGATGCAATAACATCCTGTTTATGGTGGCCATTCCTTAGAGGCCACAGGTGCTTTAGTCAATCCCCTCACATACTCAGAAGGAGGGAGGACTGGCTCTTAAACCAAAAATGAACTTTAAGCATTCTTCCCCTTTAACAGTACGTTCTTTGGGGGATGGGGGTAACACAGGTACAGAAGGCATTTTTCTTGTTACTAATAAGGTACCTTATGTTCTTCGCCAAGTACAAGGTCTCTAAGGAATCTGGTAGCTTCTTGAGACCAGCTGGTACAGGTTAAATAATTACACAGTTTATAATTCAATTAAAATTGGGGCTTTTGTTTCAGCTGCCATGTGCCCAAGGAAAGCACCCTTTGGCAGAGTCTCACCCTGTTTTATTCTGTTTTTCCTCTAAGACAACATTTTAGAAATGGGGAATTTAAGATGGATTGTGTTTAAATATAGTTAATGATAAATTCAATAAGGTTGCTCACTTGGCTTAATGATATACATTTGATTGAACTGGGTGTGCTGCTTTCTGTATTTTTAGCCACATGCATTCTAACTGCTACCTCTCACCCCAAAGTCAGGCATGTCAGGATCTCTGAATTATTAGCTGTATCTTCAGCTCTTCCTATGTGATCTCAAAGGTCTGAAGAGTGCAGTAACTCTTAATGTAATAGGGTTTAAATTTGCCTGGTTGGGGTGGGTACTGAACTACAGGCAGAGGACTAGCCTCGCTGAGGCCCACCCACTGCCTCAGCCTACATCCCACGCGGCAGCTTTGCGTGTCCACCTCTGGCATACAGAAAGTCACATCTGTGAAGGCATACATCTTAAGCCTTTGGGAATAATGACCTTGAAGAAAAAGTCATATGCTGCTCCTGGTAATGAAAATCGCAAGTACAGCAATCTCAGAAAAGGATGACGTGTTGGCCAGAAAATCAGAGTTTTGGATAACTGTAAGGGTATGTGGAATGGCCAATTCAGCAAAGGCTCCAACCTACACTGTGAACAAATCCACCATCCTTTATAAAGACACAAGGAAAACATTAGTTTGTGTATTTGTTTCAGTAAGCACCAATACTGCTCTTTAGATAGAAGATAGAGCTTAAGAGAATGTTGTACAGTTAGGTCATGATGGGAAGAGGAGCAGAGGAAACACAATTTGCAACACTAATATGCAAAAGCATTTTCATAGGTGCACATTCTTGAATAAGCAAATGACCCAGGAAGTCTCCCTTGCACGAGCTCATTGTACTACCATTGGGGAGCTGAAAGGGAGGGCTTCCCAGGCCCTCATCTGAGTGCAAAGGACAGATGGCCTTTTATAAGGAGCTGTCTGATTGCCAACCCACCTCATTCCCCGGACAATGGCCAACTCCCTGAGCAACAACCACTGTCATTCTGGCCCTATCAGAACCAAAGCCCAATGTATTTCCCTGTCTCTTGCCCCTACTCCCTGCCTTTGTATTCTGTTCCCCTGATACCTATTATCCTTGATGATAAGAGAGAGGGGGCTTGCAGATGGCTGAAAAGCACTACATTTCCTAGCTCTATGTTGCTTAATTTATTCTTTTTTTTTTTTTTTCAAAGAAAACCTTGCAGAGGTTATTCCCATAGAACTAGGCTTTGTGAACTGAACTTCATTTCCACTCCTCTATCATGTCCTAAGAAAAGCCACGAGTTGACCAGCTGTCTCTGCTTCTTCAATGTCTGGGTGCATTCAAAGTTTACTGCCACCTTCTGTACCTCTCTACTCTAGGGTCCTCTTTGCCTGCAAAGCCTTCCTCTGGCCAGGGAAAAGCCAGCATTCTGCAAGGCCAGCTTGCACTCTGCTTTCTGCATGAAACCCTGGCTAACTGCTTCAGCCCTAAAAGACTCTTCCTTGCCCTTGGTAAAATACTGCCTTGCTTTGTGGGCCGTTGTTTCCTAGGTGTCATGTTGGCTCCCAAAAGTGCTGGAGAGAAAGGATGGTGACTTGGACTTGCATGTGAGCATGGCACACAGGGTCTTATTAACTACTTGACTGAAATATCAAGACAAGCACATGTCTGATTAATCCCTGGGCATATTATAGATGTTAAAAGTAGCTTTTTCAAATTTAGGTATTTCCTCCATGCTTCCATACTTGCACTAGAATTAATTAGCTTTCTAAAATGCAAATTTGACTAAGCTGCTTCTCTGTTTCATATCCTTCAGGGGCTCTGCATGGGCTACAGGGCAAAGCCTTAGCATGGCATGTGAAACCCTCCATGAGCTCAGGCTTCTCTCTTAGCACCGTCCACTTCTCTGGTGATTACGGCAAAGTGAAATTTCTTATGGATCTCTGATCTATTGTTCTACCTGTCTATACCTTTATGCATGATATTCTATCTACTTGGAATGCCATTCCACCAATCTCACTAGGCAAACCCTTTTTAATTCTTCAAGCTTTGTCTGGGAGTCACTTTTACAAAATTTTCTCCCACCCTCCCAGATGGAAGTAATTCCAGCTTTCAAAGTGTGGTGTCTGGACCAGTGGCATCAACCCTATCTAGGAACTTGTTAGAAATTCACATTCTTGAGCCCCATCCTAGGAACTCTGATGGCAGAGCCCAGCAATCTTTATTTTCACAAGTCAACCAGATGATCCTGATGCATGCTAACATTCAAGAACAATGGCTTTATATGTATATTTTAGGTACATGTCCATTACAGATTCTATCACATGATATTTCACCTATATGTTCCCATCATTGCTTTCTCTGCTTCCTGAGGATATGGACAATATTTTATTTACCAAAGATACTGGGCACTTACTGAACTGAATAAAATGAATTCCCCTATGTAACCACAATTTTAGTGGCAATAATAAAAAGAATAGTAGCAGTTAATATTTATATGGCACTCACCTTCCTAGAAAGACCCATTATTACCAGCCTAGGAATGCAATCGTGGTATAGTTACAAGAAAAATAATTCTAATAGATTAATAGGATGGGTAGTGGCTGATGTCTCAGCCTTCTGCATGAAGGACAATGGAATTGGAACCAGAAGACCTAGTTTTAAGCTCCAGTTCTGATATTTATTAACTGGGGCTCTGGACAAATAAATCATTTCATATCACTGGGGTTCACTTTCTTAACCTGTAGAACACATGTAATCATGTGAGATAATGCCAAAGCCAAGTCAAGTCAGTTTGCAAGCACTAAAATGATGCTGAATGTTTTTATCTTTTTCTCCAACCTGTTTTCCATGTGTGTATATGGCCCTTCTTCCCTCACCATCTTCATTCCCCTCCTGATTTTAAGCTCAGCAGATCAAGATATGGCAACTAAAGAGACCCAAAGAGGGAGATGAGCTGGGATTGGAAAGGAGGAGAGCCCAGCTTGTCCCAGTAAGTTATTTGGCTTCTCTTTGGTCTTTCCTCCTCCAAAAGAGTCCACAGCCAAGGGCTGACACTGAAGCTTAGCTTCGCAAACTAGAGAGTCAAGATGACGCAAGACGATCCTACACATCCCAGCCTGCGCCAGTCACTTTTGTCACTCTGCCATGCAAAATAGCTTGAACATGCATGGGATTCATAATAACCATGCATTATTTCTACACTGAGCCATGAGGATCTCTGACCACCCTAGATATTGTTCAGGACTAAAAGGCTTTGGCCCTTACTCCAGAAAGCTGGAGCCAGTTGGGTGAACAAGCA